TCAGCCTATCAGATTTTTACATGCCGGCCATTTGAAAGATAAGGCGGCTGGTGAAAATCTGAGTTGATCAAGTTGCTATGTAACAAATATTAATTTTCCAAGTAGGGGACTGGTCTGTCATACATGGTTCTAGATAGTTTCACTGTAAACATCTTTGCGGCAAGCAGTTTCACTCCAAACATCTGACTGCATAAGTATTGGCTTTAAGACAATTTTGCTATAGAAGATAAAATCACAAGAAATTAAATAACACCATTTACAAAGATTTAAAAGACCTTTCTTGTGAGATACGAAATACTTGAATACATTCAAAATGTATACTGCAGATTCAGAGTAATGCTGCAAATCTCACTGCTTTTATTCTGCGGGTTATACCTAAGCACTGGTCTTTAAAGTCTTTCATTCTTACTGTTAATATTTTTCTGTGATTTTTTTGGCTTGTTCATTTGTCTCATCCTTTGGCATCATGCTTTTTTTTTTCTTTTTTTGCTAAGATCTCTTCCTTCACCTTGTGACAGGTAACAGTCTCCAAACACAGGATGCCTATCTGTCACTAAGCTTTTGTGTGCATATGTGTGTATGTATATATGTATGTATATATATATATATTGTATTGTGAAAGCATTCTCCACAGTTGTTTTTTCCTTGCATACTGGTACATGTCCAGTGCTAGACATTCCAAAGTTCTATAGGAAATGTCTATACACCAGTATGAGGGCTAACATTTCTGCCCTACAGAAATGGCAGTACAATCCATAAATGCAGCATGCATCAATAGAGAAAAGAAATCAAACTATCAAACCAGTTTGAGAAACCAAACTGTCAAACTGATCTGTCAATTTTTTAATTTTTATTTTATTTTATTTTATTTTATTTTTTATTTATTTTTTATTTTCTTTTACAGCAAAATTGCCTTATGGCCATTTAGTTATAAGGTGAAAATGTTTGCAATGAAAATGCCTGTGGCAAAGCTGTCTATGGGAAAAATGCTTATGGCAAAACTACTGAACATTCTGTGTCATACACAACCCTATGTGACAAAGATAGTCAATTATCAGTATCCGTTGTATTCAATCTTCTCACAAGGTGTGGGACAGTGGAATTCTGAATATAGAGAATTTATAAAGGGGTCCTCAAGTTCATCCAAAACCAACTGAATTCATATTTGAAGACAGTGAAAAAAATTTCTTTTATATATATATATATATATATATACACACACACACACACACACACACATATGTATACACAACACACACACACATATGTATGTGTAAAATTATATACATATAAGAAACGTATATACATATGTAAGAAATTTTTATATAAGACATTTTTTCATGGTCTTCAATTATATTCAGATAGCATACATGCTATCTTCAGTATGTACATATACCTACACACTATATGCACACATAGGCCTTTCATATAAACAATTAACTATGTAAATGGTATCTTGACAAAATACAGATCTGCTCTAAGGTCTAACTGACTTAAAAGTTGTCATCTGCTATCCTCTAACTTCACTGTTAGTGGATATAGAACTTGAAAATACCAAGAGATGAAATTTTTGCTTAACAAAGTTTTCCCACATTAGGAAATATGGTAAGCCATTGAGCAAAACAGTAGAGAGCAAAAGAAATGGGGGACAGCAATGTTCCCATAAATAGAATTCCTGTTTGCTCAAATCAGAAATCTATGATCTGTATCTCTTTGTCCCTCCTTTTTCAAGGATCTCTATCAGTTATCATTTCTCGATTTTGCATCTATAAGCTTTCCCTGTGTGTGTATCCCTTTACTAATCTGTAACATAGACTAATGAATTAGCTCTTCCATTCTTAAAAATACATATGTGTGTATATACATCCATACCTGCATATCTAAACAACCTGACCTAGAGTTGATGATCTTACTTTTCCCCCAATATTTCTTAGCAAATTTGCAAGGATTTTGGAGAAAAAAAAGTACCTTATATCCAGATTTCTATTTCCTCACCTCTCCCTTACTTCTCAACCACCTGTTGGCTTTTAATCATACACCTTTATATAAAAAACCGCATGCCAAAGTAACACACCTGGTCTCTTGTTTGTGGAGATACAATGGACAGAGAGGATGCCTGTTTAAAACAGAGAGAAATGTGTGTGGCTCTACCTGTGTATGTAGGTAAGCATGTATGTGTAAGTGTGCTCATCATAGAATTTTCTACAGCCACTGAAAGTAGAATCACAGAACCAATAAAGTATGTAATTCCAAGAACATCTTCATTTTTATGTTAAGTAAAAATAGCATTTAATTGCAGAAACTAAGTGCAATTCATTTCCAAAGTTGCTTTGGCTTTAGTAATGCTGTGTGGCCCTAAGTGTCCATAAAGCACAGGAGTCACTACATGAGCAGACAAACAGCAGGATCGTTAAGACTAGATTCATCAGTTTTGCAGAAGTGAATGTGATAGGATTCATTTATTATGTGGTTTAGGATGTCACAAAATGCTTTGTTTAAAAACTTAAGTTTCTGTAAAAGGTGAAGGGGATGAGAAGCAGTGTTTCAAGACATTAATATGGGAGGCGAGAGCCTGGGACATCCTCCAAGGGGCAATCACTGCCCTGAATTTTGAAAAATGATATCTTAGATTAATGCACCCACATCTTCCCATGACCGTTAACTCTGATAATGTTTTTTTTAAAGATTTTACTTATTTATTTAACAGAGAGAGAGCACAAGTAGGCAGAGCAGCAGGCAGAGAGAGAGAGAGAGGGAAGCAGGCCCCCTGCTGAGCAGAGAGCCCGATGCGGGGCTCCATCCCAGGACCCTGAGCTCATGACCTGAGCCGAAGGCAGAGACTTAACCCACTAAGCCACCTAGGAGTCCCTCTGATAATTTCTTAGAAAGAACTATTCCTAACATCAAGTTATCATTTGAAAGTATTCAGTCAATGGTTAAATTTATGAACTTTTTCAAAAGAAATGGTATCTCCATACAATTAAAATCAGCAGGTATTTAGGAAAAAACAACAACAACAACAAAAAACACGAAAACCCTTAACCAATGCAGTAAAACTTATGTCATGACATAACCACAGCATATATAGTATTCAAAGAGCTCCGTGTTAAAAAGATTTGTGATTAATTTGAAGTTATATGTGTGTATATGGTTTTAATTCTTCAATCATATTCCAATCACATACAGGCTAAAAAGCACCTGAGTATTTCAAAGTGTTCCAAAAATTTTCATCAACACTGTACCAAATTATTCACAGCACTGTGTCTGCAAAACTATCTAAATATATTAATTCACCTTTTTCCTCTCACCTTTTAGTTTTTGAAATGCATATAAAACAGTCCACTAGAGCTCATAATGAACCACACCTTTCTAAATGGTGAAAAGTTCAATTAAAAGCAAAGTAAATTGGCATTTTATTCAGAAGAGACTTCTGGATAAACATGTGATTTCTTCTGGAATTTGTTAAACACAAAAAAATAATTTATATCATCTTTTTTTTTTTTAACGGAGCCTTAACATTTTAAAAAAACCAAGTTGAGAATCATTCTCTTATCACATGCAAAGAGTCAGTAAGAAAGATGAAATAAGCTGATGGTAGGGTTGCTAGAGAAATAGTCACAGTTGATATTCTCCACAATATCAGCAGTTTTCACTACATGGAAGGACATTCAAAATAGGTCTCCCTACAATACTTTCCTCTGCAGTTAAACGATCAATGAAAAAAATACATTCCAACCTCAAAACACTTGTCTTCAGATTCTTCATTGCATACCGAAATAGAACATTTTTTACACACCATACAAATAATCTAAGATATTTTCTTGAAACTGTACAACTGAATGAAGGTAATCTCATTTAAAGTAGTGCTGGGAGACCAGAAGGGGAAGGGGAAGCTGTCATCACCACCACCCCCTCATCAACCGCAGACCCCCAAAAAAGAGGTGCATTTGCAACAGAAGATGCCTACTTAACTACTTCAGCAGGAGAGTTTCTCCTTGCCCAGCAACAAGCTCAGCCAATAACAAAATACCTCAACTCAGCCAATGATAAACCATCACCACCCTGACCTCTGGCTTTCTTCCAATGGACTTTTGCTCAAAGCAGCTTTTCACTGACTTTCTCTTTTTTTTTTTTTTTTTTCCCCTATAGTGTAGTGTTCCTTTTCTTTGATATGGGCACTGGCCTATGGCCTGCCACGGTTCACATGTCCTGTGATGGAATTTTTCTGCTATTCCTGAATAAACCCATTTTGCTGGTAAGAGAACTGGCTATTTCACTTTTAAGGTAGACAAAAATAAAAAGGTTTTCAAATAAGGATATAGTTTTTGCTGTTATAAGCTGATTTATTTGTAAATCAACAGAACAATGTTAAGATAATTTTTAGGCATCTGTAGGAAGTTTTAGTATTATTATAATCTTTAATAATTAAATGATCATAAATTTATCCTAGAAAAGCTCAAACTGTTCTATTTTTCTGTTCTCTTCTGGTTATTCTCTTCCTATAACAGTTTCTTATATAGAATTTACATGTAAGAATCAAATAGGATTTCAGAGGTCCAAATTATTTTATTAATAAATTAGATGTAAGGTCATTATGAATCACATAAAAACATAATTCTTAATCATTCTGTAATTTAGCCAATGGTTTATAATCTATGATCTGTATGACTTGATAATTGGCACACTAATATCCCTTCTTACTACCCCTGCCTGATGGTCTCTTTAAAAACCACCTACATTGACATTAAGATTAAAATACTATAAAATTGGGTTGGCTGGATAGTTTAGTTGCTTAGGTTAAGCATCTGCCTTTGGCTCAACTCATGATCCCAGGGTCCCGGGATCGAGCCCGCTCTGCAGAGCGGCTCCCCGCTCTGCAGAGGAGACTTCTTCTCCCTCCCCCTCTGCCTACCACTCTGCCTATTCTCTCACTGTCCAATAAATAAATAAATAGAATCTTTAATAAAAAATAAAATAAAATACTATAAAATTATACTCACTTTTTTGTCTTTGTTGTATTTGGCAAATATCTCCTGGGCTCTCTCTTCTCCTCCGTCCGTGAACAACATGATAATCTTATTGCAGTTGGCTCTGGAAACATTATACTGTAAAGAAAACAAAAGAATGTATATCATTCATAATAAAAGGTAAGGAATATAAAACAATACATAATGAACATGAATAAGTTGCAGGTAGTGGGTAACAGATCTGTTCAGTAAGTGTATTCTAAAGAACCACTTCTGAGATCAGAGCAGGCCCATCCCTACGAGGGCCTCCTCCCGTCCTCCCATCATCCATAGGTCTCACTTCCTTTGTGTCTGTGATCAAATGTCACCTATCATTGAGGACTTGACTCAAAACTATGTTTTAAAGGGCCACGTCTCTCCCAGATTGTATTTTCCCTCATAGCATTTACATGCTTTTATGTACACAGTATCTATTTTGTTTGTTTATTGCTAGCTTCCACTGATTAAATCTAAGTGCCATAAGGACATGAAGGTTTGTTTGTTTGTTTGAAGATTTTATTTATTTACTTGACAGACAGAGATCACAAGTAGGCAGAGAGGCAGGCAGAGAGAGAGGGGGAAGCAGGCTCCCCGCTGAGCAGAGAGCCCGATGCGGGGCTCGATCCCAGGACCCCAGGATCATGACCTGAGCTGAAGGCAGAGGCTTTAACCCACTGAGCCACCCAGGCTCTCTGAAGGTTTGTTTTTTGATCAAGAGCCTAGCACATAATAACCTCTCCATGGTTGATTAATAAATAGATTTAAATTAATGGTTATTATATCAATTTCATGCCCTTATAATTTGTACCAGAAACAAACAGTGTGAACGAAAAATGTGCATACCCTCCCACATTTATTTTCAACCCATTTGCAAACATTTCTGCTCCCTTTCATTCCTCTTCATCCTACTTTATTCACTTTACCTTTCCAAAATTATAAACTCGTAGTTGATCCCTAACACCCAACGCTCTTATATCTTTGTAAATGCCAATACCTAATCCCAGAATATCCTGCTATCTTCTTTCAATCCACACACGTACTCTAACTCTAAAAGACTCAATTCCAGTGGCAAACCTTTCGTAAACTTTAAGGTCTCCAAAGAGTCAGACATAAGAGAACAATGGATTAGCACCAAAGGGCCACTAAAATGAACAACTAATTTAGAAAGATGGACTCTGAAGTTCTGAAATTACAGTCTCAAATGTCTACTGTGGTGGAATATGTTTGCAAAAACTGTTCAGAATAAAAGATTACACTAATTTATGAATGCTCAGCTTCTTTGAGAATGTCAAGGCTCCAGCTCAGAACTATTCACTGGAGGTATAATGTAAGTCAAATCTGTAATTTTAACTTTTTTTTTTAAATTTTTTTAAAGATTTTATTTATTTATTTATTTATTTGACAGACAGAGATCACAAGTAGGCAGAGAGGCAGGCAGAGAGAGAGGAGGAAGCAGGCTCCCTGCGGAGCAGAGAGCCCCATGTGGGGCTCCATCCCAGGACCCTGAGTCATGACCTGAGCAGAAGGCAGAGGTTTAACCCACTGAGCCACCCAGGCGCCCCTAATTTTAACTTTCTAATAGCCACATTAATCAAAGTATGAAGAAATCTCTGAAATTAATTTTACTAACATATTTTATTTAACCCAGTCATCCAATATGTTGTTGATTCAACATGAAATCCATATCAAAATTATTGATATAATATGCATTTTTTTCTTTCATAATAGCTCTTCAAATTCTGGTGTGTATTTTATATTTACAACACATTTTTCAATTCAGACGAGGCACAATTTTAAGCCTCAATAAGCCACATGGGATTGTGGTTACTGTATTGGACAGCACCGGCCCTGGCCTTTAAATGAGAAATATTTTTGAAAAAAAATGTTAATCCTTAAGTAGTGTTTAGGCTTATTGAAAGACTATACCCTATCTTACTTTTCAAAGAAGATAAATCCCATTTCCCATTGTAAAGGTTAGTCAAGACAATATTATACTCTAGTGATGAAAAGATCCTGTTTGATATAATCTCACCCCATTGATTAGGCCATTAGAACATTGGCAGTTAAAGCTGTTAACCAAGTATTGTGAAAACCCAAGTATTAAATATTACAATTTGTCACATTCAAGCATAGTTCTCATCTGTGAAGAAAGCCATCTGAAAATTTGACTATAAAAAAAGTTACATATTTTATCATCAAAATACCTCGGTGAAAAACATTGAAATCCCTTAACTAAAATTAATTTCTTTGATGATTTCTTTTTATCTGCCTACTTAATATGTACCTAAAGGGCTGTTACAGAAAAGTGATTAAGTAAGAATTTTACATAAGGTCTTGATTTCATTTTTGGAAGTAGTGGGGGCAACAGTGCTAATGAACACAAGTACCAGTGTAAGTAAGCACATTGGGTCTTGCTGATCAGTCGTGTAATTAAAATAATAATGTTTCCCGAGAGAGAGAGAGAGAGAGAGAGAGAGAGATGTTAGGACATACACAAAAGGGGGAATAAAGAAATGTTTCATTTTCAATATGATCTTTCCTTAGTAGATGCGTGATAGGCAAAGTCAACAACCAGTCAGAGGATTTGCAATTTTCTAAAGAATTACACAATCCTAACAATTATGTTATGGTTTGTAACAAACTGAGTAAAGGAAAGAAGTTGGCTATTTCAATAAAATGGACTAGTAGAGTTGGTAATTTACTTTAATACGTTATTTCATAACAAATTGTGTTAAGTGTATCCCTGTGTTTCCCTGTATCACCGTGCAGACATGACACAGCACACCAGCTATCATTTATGGACTTAATAAAATTTTTTTTGAAAAATAAATTTTGGTTTATTTGTAGTATTTTATGAAGTGCCATCTGAGGACTAACTCAAATCCCAGTTTAAGGTGTACTGTGTGATAAGTGATACATTTAATCCTATTTGATACTGCTTCAGGGATCTTAATGATAAACCTTACAAGGACAAACAAGAACCAGAGAATGACATTGTGTGACAAGAAGACTGCAAGTATTGGAAATAGGTAAGAAAATCTGCTTCAACTTTGAATAAGGCTAGTAATGACATCTGGGAAAATTATTTTTTTTTAAGATTTTGTCTATTTATGTATTTATTTATTTAAGAGAGAGAGAGAGAGTGAGCAGGGGAAGGAGCAGAGGGAGAGGGACAAGCAGTCTCCACGCTGAGCACACTGCTCATGCCTGGGCTCAATTCTATGAGTCTAGAATCATGAGTCAACTGCTTAACCTACTGAGCCACCCACGCACCCCTGGGAATTATTTTAAAATGATGAACGGGGGCACCTGGGTGGCTCAGTGGGTTAAACCTCTGCCTTCGGCTCAGGTCATGGTCTCAGGGATCAAGCCCGCATCAGGCTCTCTGCTCGCCCTGGAGCCTGCTTCCCCCTCTCTGTGCCTGCTGCTCTGCCTGCTTGTGATCTCTGTGTCAAATAAATAAATAAAATCTTTATTAAAAATAAAATAAAGAATAGCAATACATAAGGGATATGTGGAAAGCAGAACATCTGAGACTTATTTCAGGAATAACTGAGAACATATTAAAAATCATTTACAACTGGCAGTAGAGGTAGTGTGAGAGGCCAAGTGGAGTTAAATCATATTTAATCAGCAACTAGGAGTGAATCTGGGAGTTATGGTGGCCTCTCTAATGAGACAGCCTTGGAAATAGTACACGAGGCTTGAGACCCCTAATCATTTCACAACTGAAACCTGAATACGAGGGAGTGAAGTGACACCATTAACAATACCAAGAAGGGTCCATCAAAATGCCACAATCTAGAAAAACCTGATTGGCTCAAAAGAAAAAGAACTTCTATGAAAAAACACACAAACTTATATTTCTTTACTGCAGAAAGAATACATTGTCATCGAAGAGTTCATTACATCTGAATCTCCAAGTTCTGAGTTTTCATCCTTCTAGTTAACCAACATACACCCTTTAATAAATTTATGCATTTTACCAAAGAGAATTCCCCCTGGAAACTGCAACGGTGAGCTGCTTGGCTTCCTGGTCTCCTTACTTGCATATCTAACACTACCTAATAAATAACCACCACCTCAAAGTCCACATAACTGAAACTGAGCTTTTCCTACCCTCGGAGTCCCTCTCTAGAGTCCTGTGTCACTAGCTACCAAGGATTCGAGTCCAGAGAACCATCCCGTTAGTTACCGTGTCACTCTCCTTAACCTTTCTTTGCTTTGACTCCAACACCAGGACTCGTAACTTCAACTCCAACACCAGGAGAGCTTAACTTAGAACACTCATTAGACCATGCCATTCTCATATTATCAACTTTTCATTTGCTCCTAAACACCTCATTAACTGATACCTCATGGCCTTTTTATTTCCCTCACAGCTCCTATATTGCTATGTCCTGGACTTGGGGAAGCACCTGCCACTTTCTCAATGTGCCACGACGTCTCCTACATCTGTGCCTTTGTCCATGTCGTTCTCTTTATCTGACATGATTTCCCCTCTCTCATCTACCTGCCTAAATTCTACTCACTCTTCAAAATCCTGTTTTCAAGAAAATGCCCACTTTCCTGACCTCCTTTGGGTAAATCGAACCCCTCTTTGGTACCACTCAAGTAAACAGACTCTGATTATGCCCCATAACAGCATTGACACACTGTTCTAGGAATGATCATTAACCGTGCCATGCTGGACGTTCTTGCGATCAGACGGTCTGCTTTACCTCTGCTATTCTAGCACTGGTAAAATGACAGGAAACTGAGGCTTCCAATAAATACCAGCTGAATGAATGAATGGAGGAAGCAACCAGTCAGATATCCTGAAAACTCTTTGAGAAGTTTACTCAGGAACAGCAAAGTAGGATTCGCAGATAAGACCACATGTAAAGGCTTATTCAGTGACTCAGCAAATATGGGATGAATTCCAAGTTCACCCTCTACCAGACATGTGCTAGGCATTAACTATAGTCATAATGATCAAGACACCAGTATCGAGCCAACAACCCACGCTCACATGGGGTTTGCTATGCGCCAGGTTCTGTGGACAATCCTACCTACATCCCTCTGAGGTATGTGCCATGGTATAAGGGAGGAAACCGAGGTGGAGAAAGTTTAGGTCCGCACTTTCAACCACCACAGTAATACTGCTTCATGAGAGATAAAAAGTTGAAGAGTTCAAAATGAAACAGACGACAAAGCCATTTGAGAACCGGAGTCTGGAGTATGAGATACACGCTCTCATATGGGGCAGACAGTAGGTGTGCTGGAACGTGAGAGTCTGAACGGAGATATCGGTGGGTGATTTGTTTGGGGGGCAGATTGTCACTGAGGAAGGAATTCCTTCTCTGTTATTTCATGTCCTCTTCACTTTCATGTCTGTCATTTGGACCTTTCTATACATTAAGAAACAACTACAAGAACCAAGTAGATGTTTAAAACTAAAATATTCGGGGTGCCTGGGTAGCTCAGTCAGTTAAGTGGCTGCCTTCAGTTCTGGTCATGATCCCAGGGTCCTGGGATCGAGCCCATGTTGGGCTCCCTGCTCAGTGGAGAGCCTGCTTCTCCCACTCCCTCTGCCTGCCACTCCCCCGACTTGGGCTCCCTATCTCTCTGTCAAATAAATAAAATCTTTAAAAATAAATAAATAAATAAATAAATAAAACTAAAATATTTCCACCAGCCATTGGAGGATTTGAAAACACCAGTCTCCAGATAAATACAGTAGCGATTGAGAGAACAAAATGAAATAATAGTCTACATATGTCAGCTAAGTTAGAAGTGCTTATACAAAATGAAATAATTATCTTACAAATGTGCTTCTTAAACAGTTTTAAAAGATGATAGAAGAAAAGATATAAAAGAAAAAGAATGTCTATATTTTGTATGTTTTTTGAATTTTGGATTTTTATAAAAGTAGTTCAAGGATTTCTACTGCCTGGACACATCTGCTTTTAAATTAAATGAAAACCAGCACAGTTATGTAACTCATAGTGACTGATGGTAGTAAGTACCAGCATATTGAAATTCAGATGCTGTGACTCAGTAACAAGAGAGAAAAGGGGGGCGGTATGGATACTTACATTAAGCAGCTGTTCAAAAGCAAAACTAAAGCCTTTCTTATAGTCAGTGATTCCTTTTGCTGTGATATTATTCACTGCGTCTTTCAGCACTTTCTTATTTCTCACATTGGCTTGGACAAGGTGCTGAAAACAGCTCACATCCTGGGCATTGCTGTTAAACTGTGAAAGACAGAAAAGTAAATATATAAATGAACATGAAAATCAATCACATCATTTTATCTGAATTTGTGGCCTGTACGTCCCATCCTGTTGCGTTCTCTCTCACAAAATGAGTAAATTGAGAACAAAAGCTCACTAAGGATCAAGCAGCAATTTTCACCCGAGCCCCCCCACTCCTAGCGCAACCGTGAGCCGGTCACTCAGCTTCCTGAAGCTTAGTTTCTCTGATTATAAATTTGGGACTTGAATTACATAAGGCCCCTTTCAGCTCTCAAATTTTCTGAGCCTTTAGAGGGAGGGAAAAAAAAAAAGCCAACAAACAATGACATGTATTCAGAATCCAAAAAAGATATGGTGATATGTGGCCGGGTTCAAGGACAAACTAACCACTTGCTTGCCTTTCTTAAGGAGAAGCTGGGTGAAAAAGCCAGAAAGTCGATGACAGGAACCAAATTTTATTAGTCCTGAACTGTGATGATACAGTCTTTCTCCAGGGGTTAACCTGGGAAAGTAAGGTGAAAGAATCAGGAACAACAGGTGGCCTTTTAGAACGGCTCGCTCTAGAGCATATACGCAGAAGGCAGGGGAAAGATGGAGGCGAGGCCAAGGACAAGCAGATCCTTGCAGACCGGGATGGCTGCGAATGATGAATGCCTGAACAACCAGGAGGCTGCAGGAGGAGAGAACGTCAAACCTGATGCGTGTCCCAGCGTGAACATTTAAGAGTCATCACCGACGTTAGTATCACCAACCCTATAAAAAGTATTCATGGAGTTCACTGGGTATTTCCAAAAAAAGCTAAGAACAATGAGTTCTGCAGGGAGATCCAGGGCACGGAGATGAGTGGAAACATCCCATCTTTTATTAGCTCTGCTATTTGTATGAGCCCTATAGGCTCTCGGGGCCGAGTGTCACATCGGCAAAATGAGGATGATAATAAGACCATGCCTGCTAGGAGGTAGGGGGCAGGCCAGATGAAATCCTGGAGATTTTCTCAAAAAAATGTATCATTAAACGATTTTAATGGGTGGATCACAAACCGAAATGTAAATTTTATAACTGATCACATATTCTTATAAATATAACAAGTGTTCCTTTTTTCTCTGAAAATCAATGAAGCTTAATTATAAGGTGCACCGCACATTTCATCAATTCAGCAAGCAAAAATTTACTGTCAGCCTGTTATAGGTCAAGAATTGTGGCAGGTGACAGTTCTGTGCCTTCAGGCATTAGGTAGATTATGCACAAACATACACACACGCATGTATCTAAGTGCATATATGGTGCCTACTATGTGTTGGGTTTACTCTACAAATATTAATCATTTCCGCTTTGTAAATGCCCTACAAGGCACGTATTATTACTATTCATGAAGAAACGTAGGCATTGGGGGGTTAAAGAACTTGCCCACAGTCCTAGGGCACATAGGACATAGAGTCAGGATCAGACTAGCACTGTGACATAAGGGTCTGGGATTTTAACTATTCCTGCAGAGTATCTTAACATATTACAACACATTATGAGTAGTTCTGTAAAGCAACAGAGCTTTATTCCCCAGGAGACAGTATCACAAGTGGATTCCAGTTTGGACCGTGAGTAGTCAGGGGAAAATCCGCACGAGAAATGGCATTTCCTGTGGTTCCAAAGAAATGTTTCATTGAAGACTATGGAGGAAGAACATTCCAGACAAACAGAACAACAAAAGGAAAGCCTTTTAGGGATGTATAAAGAAAGAGTTTAGCTCAGTCACACAGTGAGTGAGGACAATGACATAAAATGTGTTTGGGGAGGGAGGCGGGCTAGTGGTGCAGGGTCCAATAGAAATGCTAAAGAACTGTGCTTTGAATTTCTATCAAAAGGCAAGTCACAGAAAGATTTTAAGCCACAGAGAAAATAATTTAATGTAAAAATTTAAGAGATCATGCAAGTTGCTATTTGGGAAATGGATTTAAGGTGAGCCAAATTCAAAGGAGAGAAAATAATTAGAAGGCTATTATAGGAATCTAGCTCAATATAATAAGTGGCTTTGGCATTTCTGGAGATGGTCAGAAAAGAAGGGGCTGTACATTGATTTGGGAGGAAGGATCCACAGCGTGTGGTGGTAGACCGGGGATGTGGCTGAGTAACAGCCTAGTACCAGGAATGCCGTGCAGGTGTCTGATACGGGTGTCAGGATGGCCGGAGGACTAGAGCAGTGATGGGCTCGGGGGCACTTGAGGAAGAGGCAGGCAGGAGAAGCACAGAGGTTCAAGTGAGGGTGAGTTTTCAATACAGGTGAGACATGTAAATGGTGAAGTCAGGCCATTATAGCATTTGAAGTATGAGACTCGGGGTACACCTGGATGGCTCAGTAGGTTAAGGGTCTGCCTTTGGCTCAGGTCATGATCTCAGGGTCCCAGGATAGAGCCTGCATCTGGTTCCCTGCTCAGTGGGAAGTCTGCTTCTCCCTCTCCCATCTCCCCCGTCCCCGGTCTCTGTGTCAAATACACAAGCAAAATCTTTAAAGCATGAGCCTCAAAAGAAGTCTTGGCTAAAGATTTCAAAAAAAGAAAAGTAGAAGGCATCAATATAGAAGTATGGTGTAAAGCCATAGACATAACAGGAAAATAGAGGAGTCCCTAAGCAAACTTAGTAGAAGTAAGCTCCTGTGGAGGCAGGAAGGAAATCAAGAGACTGGGCTGTTTGGAATGATGAGAGAGAGAAAAAAAAAGAAAGAAAAGTATTAGTGAGAAAGATAGTGCTGTTCAGATACAAAGATGCAAAATTCAAAGTGTCCACAGAAGTCAAACATGTTACACGGTCAGTGTCCGGGGAGGGGGGCGGGGCAGAGCCCACTGGAATGCTGAGAAGCACATGGGAAGTGGTGGCCAGTGCTGTCTTCAAAGTGCCTTGGCTGGGAAACAAAGAAGAGGTGGGGTACCTCTGAGGGAGAACCTGGGGTCAAGGAAAGGCTGTCTTAAAGTGCAAGGTCACTAGAGCAAAAGAGTACTGATATTGAAGAGTGAAGGAAGGAAAAGATGCAGGAAAAGAGAAAAAGAGGTAAAATATACAGTTCTTGTGAAGGTAGGGAAGGACAGACAGCCGGCGTGTGGAGTGACCCTTGAATGGGTATCAACTTCATTGATCTGAAGAAGACAAGTGGGAGCTGAGTATAGGCGCTGCTGGTGTATACATAGATTTGGGGTTGAAAAGGTGACGGTTACTGCCTGCCTTGCTGTTCACTGAGGACACAAGCTACAATCAAGGTAAAGGAAGAAGATGGAAGGTTCGGAGAGAGTGGAGATAAAACAAGAAGGAAAATATCCTGCACAGATACATAATTTGAGTTCTTTCTTATTTTTCCTTTGAACACTATTTTCAGTTATATCTTACATAGGAGTAAAAAGCTCTAATATGTTTCCGTGCTGTTTTCCATAAATTTGAATGTTGGAAACGTAGTATCGTCAGTTCTAAATTCCACTGCCTCTTTTATTCCATTCTTTGATAATCTGACACAATCTTACTCTACACATTCTGTTCTGGAAACAAAAGAAGGTGAGAATTCCCATGTCAGAAAGTTAAAAAAAAAAAAAAAAAAGTTTGCCAATGAATCAATAGTAAAATGTCTGACCTCAGAAAATTATTAGAAATGGTTACAGAAAATGTTATTAACTGATTTAAACCAATCATGATAAAATTACAAGTTGTGCAGAAAATGAGCACTAAATAATGTATTGCTCTGAGTCTTTCGGTTGGCCTTGACCTGCTTTTAACACAGAAAAATGAAGCATCTCATTAAGTCGCTTTAACACAAACTGATTAATGTAAATTCAATTCATTAAATACAAATTCAGTGGTGTATAACAGAAATACTACGATTAAACTCATAATAAAACGCATAAATAATGCAGGGGAAAGGAACAGCTTATAAAGTCTAAGTCCCCACAGCAAGTCTCACTCTCCTAGGAAAACGAAGAGAAATTTTACAAGTTCTAAAATAGTATTTCACAGACATCTCACACTCATCTATTTTTAGAATAGACAAAAAGAACAGGTTTATTTTCACAAGCTGAAACTGCAGTCTTTGGTAACATGTACCTAAATCTTAATTTATAAACCACATATTTAATACATAAATCACTCCTGTATTAAAAACCTTAGGACAAAAGTTTAATAAGATAGTATTACAAAGCTTTGAAATAGTATATTGTGAGTGAAAATAGATTTAAGGACTCCTGCTTTTGTCACCTATTAAGAAAATGCTTTTTTCTAAAAATATATATTTAACTAACCCCGGAGTCAGAAATCCAAACTAATACCACACTGATTCCTTTCCTGATCCCAGAAAATTCAACTGAGTAGGTGTCTTATAAGAGCTGTAGAGAAAAATTTCTGCTAGCATGCTGACACAGAAAGATGTGTGGGTTAAAGTGAGCATGTGGGGTACAACTCACGTGGAACTTCGTATCCCTACTCCAGCAAATGAACATTCTTTCATTTCCTCCTTCCACATAACACGTTCTTCTACCTACAACACTTCTTTCCCTCAACAGTCTTTCCTTACAAAGGCTTTCATGACCTTTCTTGACTACATCAGACCACCCCATTATAAGCTCTCCTAGGCCTACATGTATCTTACACAGAACACGACTCCATTAAAATTTCCTGCTTCTTTGTAGACTATTTTGACAGATTCTTCCCTGGCTTCAAAGCACACATACTCAAAGAAAATAGCCATCCCACCATGCAACCTCAGTACTGGGTATATAATAGTATGCCATAAATATTTAACAAGTATATATATGGAGTTTCATTAGACGACAGTGTGAAATGATGATCAAAATCAAGCTACAGATTTAACATTGTAGAGATATTTTAGCTTTATACTATGTTAAGCTTATACAGTCATACATGTAAATATTCTGTCCAAACAGATGCTATTAAAATATCCAAACAAAGATGTATGTAAAACACCTACTGAAAAGTCTGGCCCATAGATGTTAAATCAAGTCCAACTCTAG